ATGATTTCCAAAACTTGTGAATAAAGTTTCTAGAACTTTTATCGGTTATTTTTGATGAATCCCTGAGTGTTTCTTTAAGGAGTTGGTACATGTACATTAGGTAGTATCATGTAAATTGTATCATTTTAGTATATCTGCTGCTGATCTTAAGTATTGCCACTGCAGTCTGTAGATTGTTGATTGCATTGCAATGTAATGCAACGCAACGCAATAGGGTCCCGGTTCAGTGTCACCTGCTTTTAAGTAACCAGTTCTCCTCGTTCAGGAACCAACACTTCCTGAGCCTTTGCTGTTTTCCATTACTTTTAAACTTTCTAAACATTCTGCTTCTGTCAAAAGATTATCATATTTTTTTGCTCTCATTCATTGTGTCTTGGAATGTTAACCGCTAGGAGAACAGATCATGAGATACAATGTACAGTAGGTTATTCTATGTGGTAACACTAGAAGAATATTAATAGCTTTTGGTAAAAGAATGTTGCTTGTAAACAATAACAATATTGTTTGATAAGAAATTATTTTTCATCTTTGCTAATCTTATTGTAAAATTAATAGAACAACAGTTCATTTATGATTCAATTTTTTTTGTCATTATCATTCTTATAGCCTTACTCTAGACTTATTTTTAAGGGGAGAAAATTAATAATGACTCATTTATCGTTTTCTAACAGGGGAGTTGAAGGTTTATTGTGGGATTGGCCCAATGGGTTAGCCCGTAGCTCAAACCCCTTCTTTGTATGTTTTACAGTCATTGAGTTAGCCAGATACTTATACATAGATATGGAAATTTTTCTAGAGTGGGCAGAGTTTCTTCACTGCAAGGGAAAAAAATTTGTTGATTTTGAAGAAGTAAGGAAAGAGATTGTTGCAGAGACTGACAGAGAAACTGGCAGCAATAAAGGAATCTCAGCTATTCCAATTAACTTGCGCGTGTTTTCTCCTCATGGTGAGTGTAAAGTACTGTGACGACTGATTTTCAGACAGTACAACTTTGTCTTGTGTGATGAGCTCATCCCTGTTTCAGTATTATTAAGTTAGGTGACTGGGAGTATTTCAATTCCCCCTTGAATGTGACGTCAGTTCATCAGAGCACTAATTTTGCCGGTGCCCTTTTCAATATGTCTGGGTGGAGAGAGTAACTGTTAGAGTAAAGTGCGTTGCTTAAAATGTAAAAATTAACTTAAAACAATGACCCAGGTAAGGTGTTGAACCCAGGCTGCTGCACTCTTGAGTACAGCTGGCACACTTACAATAAGCCCACATCCTAGTACCAGCTGCTTTGCATGCACAGTGTAGGTGCACAGTAAATTTTCAGAAGCATATCACCTCAAAGAGGTGATATGCTTCTGATATTATACAGTGTGTACTAATATTACATCTTTTCTATTTTTTTTGTTTTTTTTGCAGTTCTGAATTTGACATTGGTAGATCTTCCTGGCATGACGAAAGTTCCTGTTGGTGACCAACCTCCTGATATTGAAATCCTGATACGGAGTATGTTGTTACAGTTCATTACCAAGCCAAACTGTTTAGTGCTGGCAGTGTCACCTGCAAACTCGGATCTTGCCAACTCTGATGCACTGAAGATTGCTAAGGAGGTTGATCCTGAGGGTAAGAGTACTGTATTTAGTTTTGAAAGTGTAGTTACTTAAGCTGGCAAATGCAAGGATAACTTTTCCAAATCAAGTTACAAGGAAGTTTTATGTGTACAGCTAGCCAATGCCTCCTATACAATGTAATTGTCTCTACATGTACATTTTGTACCTGTAAGGCATGAGAAAAACTTTGAACTCATTTTGCCCAGAGCGCCAAGGTATATTATTTGGATTTTAAATTAATCCACGTTTTCAACTCAAAGTTGTTAATTTCTGACTGGAAATTATCATTTATCAAGCTAATATTTTCACTCAGACTTGCAAGACTACTGACAGAGACTACTTTCATTTGGCCATCGGGCCATCGAACTTCCATTTTCACTTACCTAAGAATAAATGTTACTTGATCTGGGCAATCGGATGTGGGCTTTTTCCTGCCCTGGCATGCATTGAGCCTACATCTGATTCCCAAAGCGATAATTCTTATTACTTTTTTTATTTTTATTAGGAGTACGAACAATTGGAGTGATAACAAAATTAGATCTTATGGATGAAGGAACAGATGCTAGAGAGATCCTAGAGAACAGAGTCCTTCCCTTGAGAAGAGGTACAGTAAGGGTGACAGTGATCAATGTTTCATAGGGTTATCAAAGATAGGCAGTGGCTGCTGGCAAAAATCACCATCTACACTGTACATGTACATGTACTTCATGATCATGGCCACTGACCTACTCTCCTGGGCTGTTCATCTTGTTCTTCAAAAAGATAAGAAAATCAGCCCCCTACTCTAACAGTAAAGCTGCCTACTATGGTAGGCAGCTGAATGGTACTGTTATTATTATTGTTTAGGCAACCTGATTAAAACATTATTACACTTTGGTGTCATAAGTCATTGGAACACCTGGCTTCTTTACCTTTTCCAGATGCACACTCTTTATCCAGAGTATTCTATTTTATACACAGCATTAAATACATCATTATGTAGATTACAGAGACACTCAACTTGTTCTATTTGAAATCTCTAAATTGCATTAATATTGTTTCCTCAGCATTGTTTATGCACTGATAGAACCCAGAAAGAAAATTAGAGATAGAAGATTATTGCTGAGTAATTGGCCTAAAATTTATTGTGGGTTTTTAACTGTTATATGATAAATGCTCCTACATGTACATGCAGTTTCTTCTGAAACAATGTGTCTCCTGAGAATTTGTTCATCTAAAAACACATCTGTGTTGAAAAACGTTTCTTTAGTTTGTAGTCATTTTGTGGTCATGGTACATTTAAGATATCTTCGATTTTAAAATGATTTAAATGTTTCTTTGACAAATTAGTTTCTAGACTTGTTACATGTATAAATGTTTTATTGTCTTTGTACTAAAGGTTACATAGGTGTGGTAAATAGAAGCCAAGCTGACATCGATGGAAGAAAGGATATCAAGTCAGCCCTGGCCTCTGAACGGAAATTCTTCCTTAGCCATCCTGGTTATAGGTGAGTATACTTAACAGAACACGCAAACAACATGTATGGTTGCATAGATTACTTTCATGTGAAAATTATAACCAAGAAGCACCAATAAGAGATGCCGGCTAAGTAGAATTACTATAGCACTGTCTAGTAATTGAGTATATGACCGTCATGGAGATTTTAGGCTCAAATGTTAGAAATCTCCCATATTGGAAGATACATGTATAAGTATATGAATTTGATGAGCATGTCTCCAAGTCAAATTCAGCTCTCTCAGCATGATGGCATAATAGTAATTATTGCTAATGTTTTCCAATTAAGTCAAACGTGTCATGAGGGTTTTTTTTTTATTCTGGGAGTGTTGGGATTTTCAAAGACTACCAAAAACCATCATTGACTTCCAGTGATTTCCATAGATTTCCAAAGATTCTCTAGTGCCTATTTCCAGGATTTGTTATTTTTCATCTAACACAACCACGTTGCCAGTGTTTGATTTTTTTCTTCTAAAATTGGGGAATTTGGAGGAAGTACTGCCATTTTTCATAGACTGTTACATTTTGGTTTTAGATGTTTTTTCTAGAGAGTTTGTCTGATAATGTCTGAAGGTCAATTGTGTTATCTCAATAAATCGTTGATTTCTTGATGTTCAATGACAATCATTCCAGACACATGGCAGACAAAATGGGAACTTCATATTTACAAAGGGTTCTTAACCAGGTGAGGCTTGTCTCAATTACTTTGCATTTTTACTTTAGTAAGTAGCAATTTTGGCAAAGATTTGTAATATTTAATGATGATCCATTCTCCAGCAATTGACCAATCATATCAGGGAAACCTTACCAGCCCTTCGAAGTAAATTGGAAGAGAACATCATGGAAATTGAGAAAGAAGTCAAAGGCTTTGAAAACTATAATCCAGATGACCCTTCCATGAAGACTAAAGCCCTTATGCAGTAAGTAATTAGTAAAAAACATCAAAATACATGACTTTAAGTTGAACCTCTGATAACGCCTTAATCGAAAATGGAGGCTGGGTGCCCATGAGCTTAGGGGCTGGTACCCCCAATCTAAACCCAGGTCGTAGTACACCCTAGATAAGCCTGCCCTACCTGCACTGGAGCCATGAGCCCAACCCACCAGCCCCAGCCCCAGCCCCAGCTCCAGATCTAGCAACCATGACACTGAAACTAGAAATTCAGTGGAAAAATTGCAAAATAAACAACATCTAGAACTAACAAAGATATAGAAAACTAAAGCTCAAGGGGTAGGAGAGAGAGTAAAAAAACACTAAAAATGTGACTCTGAGTACTGCTGAAAGTGTCTATGAAAACCCCTGTAATAAACTTTCATGTAGTTAAGATGAATTAATTTCTGTATCACTCTAACAGGATGATTCAGCAGTTCAATTCAGACTTTGAGAAAGCCATTGAGGGTTCTGGAGATACAATTGACACTAAGGAGCTGTCAGGTGGAGCTAAGATAAACCGGATATTTCATGAGAGATTTCCTTATGAGTTAGTCAAGGTAATGAATGATTTTATACTTTACACTTTTTGAACAAATACTGACGTAGAGTACAGTTGCAAATTGATGAAAAAAGATCAAAGATAATTATTGTGGACAATCAAAGATCAAAGATATTGCGGACAATCCCATGATAAATTCTCCTAAAGCCATATCTACAATCTGAGGTTTTAAGTGGGCTTACTGTCTAAGCCTGTGGTGTTCTATCCAGGGCAGTCAGTGACTACATACATTGCAATTAAGTTTCACTGAAAATAGGCCATTCTACAGTTGTTTGCTTAGTTACATTTACTTGGCCTATGGATGCAAGCTAGCCTGGAGGTGACCTTGCTTTGATACAGACCTCTCTGCTTTTCTCATGTAAATGCCAACTAGTAAGCATAGGAACAACTTGATTTGCACAACAAAAGGAGTGAGGTCTTAATCAAAACAAGGTCACCTGCAGCGTCGCTGCCATTCAAAGGCCAGGTCACTGAACAGACAACTGTATTTAAAATGGTCTATTCTTTGACCAGTCTTTCCAGCCTGACAGCCTGAAATCTCGTTAATAAATCAATCGACTTTTTTTGAACCAATTAATTAAGCTTGTTAAATTGGATGAAGTAGAGTAGTATTTTAATACTACTACTCAATAATTAAAATTATTGTTTGCTAAACCTGTTAGTAATAGTCAGACTAGAGAAGAAAAAACAGTCATTTTGGTGATGTTGCTTGAGAGAAACATTTTATAATTGATATCTTTTCTTGTGAAATCATAGGTGGAATTTGATGAGAAGCAGCTCAGGAAAGAAATTATGTTTGCCATCAAGAACATTCATGGTATCAGGTAAGGGTTAGTTTATAAACCATACAGGCAATTAAATTAATATCTAATATCCTCTAGTCTTGCGTGGTCATACACGTACAAAGTGATATACGGATAAACATTCATAATCAAAAGTATAACAAAATTCTCGAACGTGACTGGGTATCAGCAACCTGATTTGAGCATTAATTGGACAGTGTACAAGTCATGCTTGTAATTGGACAGTACGCGTCATTTTGTGCGTGCTGTTGCGATGCACTTTGTTGAGTAAACTGCTGTGTTTTTCAGCATTCATAACAACGTTTAATCGTTCAGTGCTCAATTGATGGTTTGTTCATTTCTTGAATGTTGTCATAGTTTTGATTAATTGGTAACAGGACATCGTGTTGTCCAATTCAGTCTGTAATCATACTCGTGATTAACAAATCGGACTCCCGCTTTGTGGTCGTCCGATTTTGTTAATCACTCGTATGATTACAGACTGAATTGGACTCCACTCAGTCCTATTACCATTGTTAATTAGTTTACAGAAGTATACACTTGATTGGAGTGAGGAGCTTCTGTAGCTTGCTCAAGTTTAAAGGACACAACATATAATGTAGGCTACAGCCGAGCTTGTAAATGGCGAACTGGTAATGCATCCTGCTATTTGAGATTTTTAACCTTGTTGCATTTTTTCTAATTAATGTTTGAATGCTGTCCCTGACTCCTACATGTACTTTATAATTTAATGTTCTGAGGGTTTTTTTGTTTTCTTTGTTTGATACACAGTGAATTTTTGTAACAGTACTCATGGAAATGTTACCACATTAGTATGACATTTCTTTTCTCGAAATAGGGTTGGTCTCTTCACACCTGATATGGCCTTCGAAGCAATAGTAAAACGTCAGATTGAGAAACTTAGAAACCCAGCGGTGAAGTGTGTGGACATGGTTATGTCAGAATTAACTAATGTCATCAAGAAATGTTCAAGCCAGGTGAAGTGGAGGCTTAATGCAACATTATTGATAATTAATTTCAAATTAATTATATTATTTCATAATTATAAAATAATACATTGTTAGTCCCACATGTACATGTATTTTAAATTATGTAGCTCATTTTATGTACAGTGAAACACTGGAATTATGAGTGCAAGCATGATGTAGGGCTCATGAAAATGTTTGATCAAAATTTGTTTGTCAGAGTGAAAGAAAATTATACGTGGAGACCATTGATTAGAAGTAAAAAAGAAAGAGAGAGATAAAGGAAAGAAAGAAGCTACTGTAAAACATAAAATCATGTCAAATTACATGTAGACACTGAAGTCCAAAATTGAATAATATCATTAGCCTGAAAATGGGGGATTTGTGAACAGAGACTGTTATTGCATGTACTGTGTAATAATGTTGTAATACAATGTATGCTTCAAATCAACTGCAGAATAATCCAAATGTGTTGAAAGTGCATAACTAAGGTATGAAAGCACTTTTTATTATTTTTTTTTTTGCGATTATTTTATTTTAATTCAATAATTATTGTTCTCTAAATGGCAGATGGACAAATACCCTCTGCTTAGGGATCAGGTGGAGAAAATTGTTGTTCAACATGGAAGGAAAGGAGAGGTTAAATCCAAGGATCAGGTACTTATATTGAAATGTACAAACATAAGCTTTTGGGAGCCATGGTTGATGCTGTGCAGTCAGAAATTGTTGCTGGGGTTACAGTTTGCATTCATGCCCTCTCCAAGGTGATCACATTTTGTTGGGCAGGACACTTGCTTTTCTCTGCCCAGTTGTAGTGATGGGTATAAGCAAATTAAATGCTGGTGGTAACCCTACAAAAGGCCTACTGGGTAGCATCCTATCTGGGAGGAAATAATGTATGGCATGAGGTATATACCAAAAACTTACTAAATATCATCCATGCTTCCTTGCAGGTTAAAACGTTTATTGACATGGAACTCGCTTATATCAACACAAATCATCCTGATTTTATTGGATATGCAGAGTAAGTCAATTTCATTTCATTATCTGAACTGATACTGAGCTTTGTGGTTGGTTGTGGACAATAGTGCATTGTTCATGGCTACTATTCTGTAGGACAGGCAGTCCTCCTTCAGGTGTATGGAATAGATATTTCTTCCACATTGCCACATCTGTCTTCTTGTTGCTAAGATCCTGGGTGGATAAAAAATAATGGCTGCCTCTAGTTGTTCAAGGATGGATAACACTATGGTGTTTTTAAAAACTACTGGGACCTGGTTCTGGTTGTTCCAAGATAGCTTTGTTGATTTTGTTAATACTTACCCACTGCTGTATGCAAGCGAATATATGAATTATCAAATATTTGATCAGCAAAAGAAAGTCTTGAAGACGTGAGATCATTGTAGTTATTTACATGAACATACATGTACTTTTAACAGTACTTTAAAAAATAATGCTTGACTTAGAGCTGCAATACCAAGTGCAATGCCCTACCAATTGGGCTATCAAGCCAACTGGAGCTGGGATGTTGCAAATTTCTGTTACATACCTGTAGATGGTAAAAATATGCATGAATATATGAAACATACAGTATATTCAAACTGCAAGAAAATGATTTAAAGACATGATCAACAGATCATTGCAAGCGATTCAGGGTAGACTTTCTCCACGAGTACTTGGAGCCTCATTTGTGCTACTCGAGCAAAGACGTTTCCGACAATACTGAGGAGGGGGAAGCCATGATAGTTGTTGCAATTGCTCCTATCACCCTTGTTTTTATAAAGAGTGACACTGAATATTGGTATCCGTTGTGTCTTGTGGCACTCTGCCTTCCCTTCAGCACAGGCAAAGAATCTTGTGCTGTTGGTGGAGGATGGATGCGTGACTTGTAACACTTCGGGATCTCTGCAGGGATACCGTTTTTTCCAGGTCCCTTGCCGGGTACAAGAGAGTCCATGGCCTTGTTGAGCTCCTCACCAGTTGGCTCTCTACAGTGTATCTAGCTCCTTCAGCACAGACAGGCACTCAAAAGCATTTAGGGCTCCTTCTGAGACAACATTGTCTCTTGCATATTACTCAGATGCCACTAAATGCCCATTTAATTTTCCAGATATGCAATCCTGAACTGCTGCCAGAAGTTGGGTAGCATGGGAGCGATAGCTCCCTTAGCTGGCAGTCAGTTCTGTAATATTTTAAAATGCAGTTGAATTGTCATTGATGTGTATTATTTTCTTGTAGGGCATCAAGTAGTACCAACCCTGGAGAAAGAAAAGTAAAGAGAACTGTGTCAAACCAGGTGTGTTCAACTTGGCAAAATCAACTTTGAGCTCAATTTTGTTGTTCATGTTTGAGTTAATTTTGGATGTGTATGGACCATACTGTATTTCATTGTGGAACAACTAAAGTTGTAACTTTTCTCATTTTCTGTACTTTGATTTAAACTTTCCAGTCCCACAGTTTTGTTTGGTTGTTTTCTTTATAGGCTTTTGTTCTGTAAAAAAACTTTAAATATTAAAGAAAAAATGTTGAGCTAAGCAATTACAGATTATCTCTCCACAACCCATTAACACTCACCTTGTATTGTTTTCTCTCAGGTGATTAGGAAAGGGTGGCTGACAATAAGCAATGCTGGGTTTATGAAGGGAATGAACAAAGAGTACTGGTTTGTACTCACAGGTAAGTTATGTACCTGTTCAATAAGATAGGGTGAAGGTAAAGTCTGCATACGAGCCAAGTGGTGCACTGGGCCGGAGCTTATTCCAGTTTCCTTAGTATGAAGCGACTAGGAGTATTTCTACTCCCCCCTGGATGGGATGCTAGTTCATCGCAGGGGAACCCCCAGCATTAAATTCGCCAGTACCAATTTATACACCTGGGTCAAGAAAGGCACTGTGAGAGTAAAGTGTCTTGCCCAAGAACACAACACAATGTCCCGGCCAGGACTCAAACCGGGACCACTCGATCTGGAGACGAGTGCACTAACCATGAGGCCACCGTGCCTCCACATGTACCTGTTCAATGGTAAACTAAAATTCAAATTTTGTATGCTCTTACTTGTGGGTATGTCCAGATGAAACCCTGGTGTAAATTCTAAAAAAGTGCAGCTTTCAAGCAGTACTTTTATGTCTCTTTGCCGTGTTCGTATGCATTATGTAGAAATACATACTTGAACTGAATCTGGGCCCAACTAAGATCCCACCTCGTTTTTCTCTACTTTTCTTTAGTTTGCTTTGAGTGCTTTCTGTGGCTGTCAGGTGTTGAGAAAGACATCAACATCAACAGTCCTTGTTTCCTTTTGGGCAGATCTGCACTTTTCTCCAGTGAACCACCACCTGTCTAGTGCAGTGGTCTCTTGCATCCTACTCCTGCAAAAATGAACTGATGCCAACTTGTTCGGATGTGTTGGGTCATTGACTTGGCCTCTTTGTAGTTAAGGCTTTCAAGAAACGTATCTCTTGTCCCAGGGTTGTCCTCCTTAAGACGCTCTTGCGCATCTTTTGTGTTAGTTTCTGTGGTCAAAGAATATTTCTGTGTTGTTGATTATTCCTCTTTAGTATCACCCAACCTTGTGGACTAATGCAAATCCTACATTTTAATTGGCTAAGCTACTAGAGGACTATTAGTAATAGTCCTCGTGTAGCGAAATTGGTGCAATTGAGCGTGACGCTTTCTTTTGTTTTAGTCCCAAATAAATCTTTCTTCAACTTGCATTTGCTTACTTTATTATTGCCTTTTTCTGTCTGACTAGTTGGGTGATAATAAAACAATAATTGTTTTATTATCTAATTATTAGACCCTTCACCCTCAAGGGCCATGGGTCAATAGCCCATTTGGCTTCGCCTCATGGGCTATTGACTCCTAGCCCTTGCGGGCTATGGGTCTAATTGTTAATCAGCACCCTTTAGCCCTCATTTACTGGCTTGTTCAGGATTCCTGCCAGGGCCATATTTATACATGTACATTGTACAGGTACTTCACCCTGATAGCCAGGCCCCTTCTTCTCTTTTGCTCACTTTCCACAAATAACGACTCTAGGGGGTGGACTTTAAGAGTCATGCATGGAAACGAATTCAAGGAATCTCAAGACATTGTATTCCTTATTCAACAGGTGCATGTAAATTGAGGGGGATAGAAATTGAAGATATTTCAAGATTGTACTGATTAATGAGAATGCTTCTACTAGACGTTGTTGTTATTTCTCTTTTTAAAAGACCTTTTTCCTGGCATTGAAACCCAGGGGAGGGAGGGGGCGGGGTAGGAATTCTGCAAAGTCCTATACGGGGAGGCACGGCCCTGAGTTCCCAACCCCTTACCCTTTATTATACATGTACCATTTTGACAGAAAAGGAACCCCTTTCCTATACCTTAAATTGGAGAAGGGTACCCCTGTCACATATTTCATAACTGGCCTGTATTATAAATACATGTACATCATCAAAAATGGAAGTCTTCAAGATTGTCATTTTCATGCATTGTGTAATTATTGAAATGATACTATCATAAGGTGCATCTGTTAGAAGTATTTTTATTAAAGGGACTTTAAAAGAACTAAATGACAGAAAGATTTACCTACCCTTTCGTATACCTCAACTTGTGAAATCCCTACCCTTTAATATACCCCAAGCCTGAAAAAGGTACTCCTTTAGGCGGAGCCTCCCCGTGTAGGCCATTACAGGGACTACTATCCCCCTCCTCCTCTGCAGGGATTAAAAGTGGTGGGGACAAATGGTAGAGGTTACATACTGCTTGTTTGTTTGTTAACTAAGCTGACATGCGATGTTAAAGTAGCAAACGTAGGTTATGCCAGAAATAACTCCCAGCATTAGAAATCTTCAGTGTTAATATTTGTTATCTTATTTTTTTTAGCCGAAGCTCTTTCATGGTATAAGGATGAAGAGGTAAGATGGATTTTCAAATACAAATGACAATACTGTTGATAGAGTTTCTTTTGAGTTGAAAACCTTGGTAGAGTTGAGTTCATGTTTAGCATTTAGATGGTGAGGATTTAGCATACTATCATGCTAGCATTTAGCAAGCTAAAATATTATCATGTAACCATGTTAACTTAAAAGCCAAATTGTTTTTTTTTTATCAGCTTTCCCCTCCATTGTTTATTCATTTAATTTTTTACATAATTAAATTGTTACTTAGCTCATGAAAATGTTGATGAATGAAATAAGATAAATGAAATGTTAGCCTGGTTACATGTTAGCATGTTAGTATACTGGCATGCTAACATGCTGTAGGAGCGCAGTGGCCTCATTGGTACGCTTGTTTTCGGATCGAGCATGCTAGCATGTTAGAATGCTACATACTAACATGTCAGCCTGACAATATGCTAACATGTTGGTAGGTTAGGTTGCAGTATGTGTTGCAATATGTTCAAGTTAAAACTCATGTTTAAAGGTGCTCAGTCACGGTATTTTGAGTTACATGTATTTTGGCCATATACAAAGTTACCTTTTAATGGTAGGAAACCTGAAAGTGACAGTTTAATAAGATAGAAAAACACCAAAGAGATAATGGTAAACCATAAAGGAACAAGGTTGGCAAAGGATGGAGAAGATTGACACGGATTACAAACGACGAATTTGAAAAATCGAGGCTAAACTTTTCAATATGCGCAAAACGTCACGTAGCTCCTTTAAACTCCAACTTGTCTTTGTATAGAATTCGTCTGAGGAGATTGCATCTGGCATATCAGCAACGTGATGATCGAGCCACTGCGCCTTACTGCCAGGTAGCATTGGGACGAGAATGGTCAAGTTTCTTCTTTTTCTTTGGCGGGACCAAATTTACGCATGCTCCATACAGTAACCTAATGTACATGTGTTAGATTCGACACGACGTTTGAAGCGGTGTCGCATTTCTGTCGGATAATGCGAGAAGACCAGTCGAACATGCGGCGGAAATGCCGCAGCCGATTCAGACGTCGAATTTCCGTCGATTTAAATTCGTTTAATTGAATTCGACACGGTAGAAATGCGACGTATGAACCGGGCGTAAGATATTTACTGAGTGACTGTGT